TTTGTGGTCCAAACCATGTGCAGGTCAAACTAATTTGACATGATCACCACCAGTGGTATAAAATGTACAGAGGTGAATGAGTGAAACCTAGACCCACATAAGCAACCAATAAACTAAACTAAAGAGGCATTCCAAAACATGTACAGGGATTTTGAAGACAAATCACTTGCATTTTGATAATAGGGAAGCTCTTTTATTATGGCTACAGAGTACTGTACGAAACTTCCCTGAATCTGAGCCGTCATGTTGTCTAGACATAAAGTTAATATGTTTGGCCAGCTGACTGACTGCTATTAATAACGAAATAGGAAAACGATCTGAGTGTTGGCTAAATGACGGAGTAGAGATCTCACACGTGTGTGTCATAGAAACACACAGACACACTGAACCTATTATGTGTCTTTGAGGACAGGGGTGTATTTCAATGTGATATGAATTCATGAGGAACTTGGCAAGAGCAGATACTTGTTAGTGGAGTTATGACATTTATATTCAGGTACATTAAATCACCTCTTGATCTGTCATAAAAGAGGATTTAGGAAAAAAGAGATGGCTATTCAGTTTCCAACGTTCACCTCATTGCTAAAGTTTTATCTTTGTAATACATCACCAGCAGAAGGTTTCCAAGCCCATCTTTCAGATATTAGCAAAGTATGTGCTATGAGAGCAGGCTAGCCATCTTTCAAGGGAGACCTTGGAGTATTCCCATTCAGTAAGATGGAAGATCTGTGCTTCTGTGGGGATAATGTACCATACTAGGCCTCAGCTTGAATTTTATTGAAATCTTTAACAACTCTATTGATGTACAGTATAGGTAAAATGTACCTCAGGGACCAATTGTGCTCCAACGTCTTGATACATACAGTACATATATCAAGTCATGATGTCAGACATAAATCGAAGACATTAATACATCAGAAACATCCACACCATATCATCACCTGCCCATTTAACGACCAACATGGTGGATGGATTACGGAGGTTGAATAGATTTGCAGAAATATACCACATATGTTTCAATTGGTTCTAGATATCTGCTGAATATTGAAAATATAAATCTGTAAAAACATTGTCTTTTAAAAAGATTGACAGCAGTTTACATGAATCTAAATCTGGGATTGAAGTGTTGAGTTTAACACCAACTATGTTGCTGTAACAAGAACAATGCCCCCCTCTCTGAATCAGTGCTGTTCATTCTGACACTGCAAAAGCAGGCTGACCCACTGACTACAAGCAGAAAACACCATGGCTTACCCCCACCGAGCCCACACCGTTATCTGTTTACATCTGTTGCCATGGACTACATTTCATTCTGTTGCCACATTTCATGTGAGGGATCTAATTGAAAAACTCTAACCGTTGATCTGTGTATGTGTACGGATGATTCAGGCTCCCCGCCCTCAACAAAACACAAAAAATATCAGTAGCATGTGGAACTGGTTACAATGACGATGTTCAATACATAATCTGGCGATAGAGACATTTGTGTTGTTCAAAGCAAACACCCCAGATGGGAATTTCTTGTGTAAATGGCAAGGACCGCTACTGAAGGAACGGTGCAAAACAATGACTCTGCACGGCTAGAGAAACAAAGTCAGTCACACCATTCACAAAACAATTAGCAGGACAGTGCTGTTAGCCTCATTTAGGGGTCCAGAGCATCAACAACCCTGCCAATAACTAGTGTTTCTGTCAACACAATACATCTGTACTACAGGACAACCGGTCCACTAACAAGCTAACTACCACCTTTAAACACTATAAATATTCACAGAAAAAGACAAGCCCTGAGACAATGAGACAGGGAGGGTGATGGGCACGCACGCATACACACGTTCCCACGCACGCACACACACGTTCCCCAGAATATGGCCACATGGCTGGGCCAGGCCACAAGCCACAAGATGTTCTTGGCCCGTGGGCTGGGGCTCCTGCTGTATTACTGTTAGTCAGTCCCTGAGTGCAGTCGGCTTGTTCAGCAAGTCACCCTGCATTACGCCAATGAAAACACTTTTCCAACCAGGTATTTTATAGATGGGAGAGAGAGAAAGAGAGAGAGCATAAATGTTACCATGGGATAACATTCCATATCAATAACTGGAAATGGACCATTGACTGGCGACTTCTCTGTGAACAGTATAAAACCAGTTGGTATTCAATATTGGATCATGGTATTCCAAAAGCACTTTGTGACCACATCACACCTCCTAACCAAAACTGTAAAAGTTTTGTATCCTTCCTTAGGTTGAGAATATTTACCACAGGTTGAGGGAATCACAATCTCAAGCTATAACCTTAACCTCCCTCCCCTCCCTCCCCTCCTCTCCCTCAGGTCTTTCTCCTCTACTACCCCTGCCTCTCAGCTGTGACTTTACAGTAACAGTACACTGTGTGCCCTGGTCCTCTACTCCTCCACTGCCTCATGGCCGCAGTGGCAGCAGGCTCAGGCAGCATCCAGAATGCACCAGCTCCAGTCAGTAGCTTTTATAGCCGCGTGGCCAAGTCAGAGTTTCCATGAGGAAAGAGGTTTGGAACCACCCACAGGTGAATCTGAGAAATGGTAGACAGACAGGGGGGATCCTGAGACTGTAGGTTAAAAGGTAGCACGGTGAGGGAGATACTGGGATGATGGAAGACAGGGATACCTCTTGGTGGTGTGGTAGGACAGTTATTAAGCATGGGGGTCAAAATATCAGAGCTCTATTGTATACAGCTTTGTTTCACACTAAAGTTGAATGTATGGACATTCTATTAAGATATTCAAACATATACTGTAACCTACTGTATCTCACCATTTTAAACTAATAAAAAGCCAGGAAGCATGACTTCAGCAGCCAACTCTAATGATAATCTTCACAAATCAAATTTCCTGTTAGTGCTGAAACGAATTGAACAGAATAAGTTACTAGTCCATGGACAGTAGGCGTCTCTGCACAAAAGAAAAAGCTTATATTTGTCTATGTGAACTTTAATGAGCATGGTCGACAATGAATTAACGTAACACCACACATGAGTGAGTCTATAAAATACAAATCCACATGTAACCGTGCCAAAACTCCTGTCCACATTATTGTAATTATACCACTCCTGGTCCAAATCCACCATTGTTCACTAAGTGGACAAGAGAAGCACAACTCCTGATAAATGTGGTTAGTGATGACATGATTATTAGAGGAGCGATGTAAATAACCTACTACAATATAAGCTCTGCTGCTTGATTTCCCCAGACAGACAGAGCAGCTTAACAGAGCTTCAGTCATTGTGTTATTTAACATTTATATTTACATTTACATTTTAGTCATTTAGCAGACGCTCTTATCCAGAGTGACTTACAGTTAGTGAATGCATAAAAGGGAATATATATATTTTTTGCATACTGGCCCCCCGTGGGAAACGAACCCACATCCCTGCCGGCCAAACCCTCCCCTACCTTGGACGACGCTGGACCAATTGTGCGCCGCCCATGGGTCTCCCGGTCGCGGCCGGCTGCGACAGAGCCTGGACTCGAACCAGGATCTCTAGTGGCTGCGCCACTCGGGAGAGTTCCTTTTAAGTACCTGTAAAAAGTTATTCCCATATTGCAAATAAACCAAATGACCATCATAACTTACCAGTAATACCCTACAATAGTTGTGCGTATTGCATATTTAAACTATTACAACAATACATCCGTTTGTGCCTATTAGCACATACAACCCTATAGGCCATCTCATGTAGTGTTTGTGCTATTAAAAAGCTTGGAGGACGATCCTCTTCTGTAACCTGTGCTACAGTATGATAAAGGACTGAATAGGAAAAATAATATGACTTTGCCCCTAATACAGAAATACAGACTAGACTAGGTTGGTTTTACCGAAGCTGCGGACGTTTCACAGCATTGCTTATACAGTATTGTGTAACTGTCGGTATTGCATGAAAGTTCCAACATTTGAATGACAGACTAACCCTATCCCTTTAAAAGTCCATGCAGAAACACCAAGAGTAACAGACGTGACCTGTTCATCTCTGCCGGTCAGCCAGCCTATCAAAGGGAGTGCATTATGGGTTGTGGTGAAGCTGCTGGTCTTGAAGATGGAGCGGGGGACTGGTCACGATATGATTGGCATGTGCAATCTGCCAATTAAACGACCAGTGGTGCCCATTCACTCTGTTTAACCAGACTGTTAGCAGGAAGGGGGTCATTAGAATGGTTGGACCGTAGCTCCAGCATAACAACCAATCCACCAGGGCCAGGAAGGCCCAGCCCAACCCAGCCAGACATTTGAGCTCAGTTCAGTTCAGCTGGGGTCTGTTGCAGATCACATCACATCAAAGAGCTCTACTTTCACTGCTGCTGATAGCTGCTGGTTAGTGACTCTCCCAGCTCCAGGTCTGAAGGATGGTTTCCTCCCAGTGATTGATATGGGGCCAGCCAGCACTGTTGTCTAGCTAACCCCAGGGAAGATAATTTATCCCATTTATTGCAAATCAGCACACAGCCCAGAACCCTTAGTGGTGGTGAATGCTGGAATCCCAGACCAGTGAGATCATAAAACTGGGTTTCTAAAAAATCCCCAGCTTGCAGTCTGCTTGGGAGGAATAAAAGAGGTAGAGGAGAGTTGTTTATTTTATCAGTGGACTTTTAAAAGGCCTGGCCATTATTCAGGGACTTCAAAGTACGATATTTCAACCTCAGACCTACCAGGGTTCTATGATCTAACTGTAAATCCCTGTTCTAGTCGGCTGATAGCAGTGGGAGGAACTAGGACCAGAGGGTGATAATCATAAAAGCCTTTCTCACCAGGTTCATGAGAAGGCAATTACTGTAAATAGTGACAGATAGTAGCATAACATAGTAATGTATTACATCAACGGTGCATTTACGTAGCTTCTAAGCAGCTGGCTATACAATAAATGATTTACCATATGCCAATAATATGATTTACTGTATATTTAATAGTGGCTTTAATTGTCACAGTGCATTAGAATAATCTGGAGACGTTTATGATTAATAACTCACCATCATCTAGGTACATCTGGTCCAGTTCCTGTGGCTCCTGTTTGATGTTAATGGCCAGCGTGGGGCTCAAGGAGCGGCCGCCTCTCTCTGGCACTTTGGGGAGCTGTTGGGACACTGGGCTGGAGCTGCCACTGATGGGCTGGGGCGGCGTGGGGGAGAACGGGGCTTCCAGGCCGCTGGTGCCAGGAGTGGAGGGCTGCGAGCCTGGGGAGGACGAGGCACTACTGGGCGGGTAGAGGACAGATTGCGGCTGGTAGCATCCAGGAGTCTCCTGGATGATGGAGACATGTGGGATCGGAGAGTGGGATGGGTCTGCTGACAGGCACTTGGAGAAGGGTGTGGTGGGTGATAGGTCATGCAGTTTGGGACTGGTGCTGGGGGAGGATGAGGAGGACAGTGAGGAAGGCTTCCCTCCCAGTCTCTGTTGGCAAGTAGAGTAGGCGTCCCCCACACACGGCCGGAGTTCTGTGGGTATAATGGAGGTCATGACCTGTGGGGGGGTGTAGTAGGGCTTGGGGTGAAGCACCAGGCCAGGGCCACGCTGGGGACACACCTGAGGGGGGTTGTAGTCATCATTCGGCTCCGTTTTTATCATTGGAACTGAAAGAAGGAGAGAAAGGAGAGGAAAATGATAAAAAATGAATAAACATACGGTTCGATCTCCTGTCGAGTGTGAGCGGGTGAAAGAGTGAGCAAGTGTCAGTGAATAAGTGAGTGAGTGAGTGAGTGAGTGGGTTTGTGGCTAGGATACCCACAGCCAAACAAACACTCTCATCAATGAGACTCTGTGTCTAGGCCTAAGCTTTTCCACCCTGCTGAAAATATTCAAAAATGAAAAAAGGGAGAGACAAAAGGGTTGAATCATCACCACAAGAGACATCCAGCTGGTTCTATAATAAAAAGGCCTATTTCCTTTGGATCAGACCCCGACAATAATATCCTATAAATGTGCATTATGAAATATGTTGCTGCTGCAGAAGTTTCATACTGTACCCAAATGAGATCTACAACTTGAAATAAATTACTTCTCTCTCAAAAAAACACACACAAAAAACAGTTTTACCCAATATGCTATATATTGCTCCTTCAAACCCCAATATTTCAAGACGTGGCTCAGTAGTGAAACAAAATGGTGGCTGCAAAATGCTTTGAAGATTGCAATGATTATGCTTGTGGAGACCATGGTTGAGTTCAGAAGGGCCAGGCCCTCTCTCCACTGTCTTGTTCCCAGTTCCCAGCACTTGGCTACCATTACCAAACCACTACCAAATGTTGAACATTACATTTCAACAAGATCCACACGTGTTGAACATTACATCTCCTCCTGTATGATTCTCGGTCAATCTCGTTTAACGGCTGATGCCGCAGTCCACTGACAACCGACCGTTAGCATCGGTTTGAACCTGAGATTTATGATCGTGCATCAAATACAAAACTCGTTTTGCACACCTAAAACGAGTGAAACCGAGCTACATCCTGCAACACCCAGCCTTGCTGAGCCCGCTGTCAAGTGAACAAGGCGAATTCTGATGATACGAGTCATGCCAACAGCAGGTTTAAAATAGCAAACCGCTTCTATTTTAGACCCAATAGGAGAAAGTGTGTCTGTCAGCGACAGGATAGACTAATGCGCAGACACACAACACACAGATGAGTAGGATGAGTGCAAATGTTTGTGTTACCACAAAACCTGAGAGTGTGCCTTAGCATTTCCGCAATACAAATCTGTGATTTAACAGTACTGTAGGCCTACTGTTAGAAAAGCCTGGGAAAACGTACTGTAACAGAAATGTTTTTTACTTCTGCAGATTTTATGGATATATGCAAGTAAAAAGTAAAAATTCTAAGCGACAATCATTTCCATCTCAATAGGTGTAGGCTTAATCCACATATTTTTGGGAGGGATATAAAATCTTATTTTACTGTAGTTTTAGGTGTCTGGTCTGGACCTAATGTGTAGACTACTAGAGTGTGTGACATGACTTCACATACCACACTGTCCAGACAGCTTGTTTAATGAAGAGACTCGAGTCTAACCCTTTAAGAGACACTGACAAGGCCCAGTGTCCCCTCTCTCCCCCCTGTCTGACTCTCACCAGAGGCTGAGGACAATGCTGCACTTTCAGAGGGGAAAGCGACTGAGGCACGTCAGCGCCCACATACAGGACTGGGACCGCAGTTGAATCAGAGCTTTGAACCACCCACTGGATGCTAGCTAGCTCCAAGACGGCTGCAATTAGAAGTGTTTATTTATTTTTTAACATTTGAGCTGGTGTGGCGTTTTTCATTTAGTCTGGCAACAGTTTGGCTATTCAAATAACACAGCGTTCCAGTACCCCTTCTCCACCCTGGTGCAGTCCACTCCAAATGTTCTTATAGCTGCAGGTATGGAAAATAATATATTTTATGGAGATCCCTTTTTACAATGGGAATAACTCAAACCATCGCTTTGTTCCTCACTTGAAAACCACCAAAGACGGAATACAGAATGTTTGTGTTCTTTTCTTCAGATGTAAAAATTGTGCTTAAAGTTTTCTTATTGGTCTGGGATATGAAAGGACAAGGATAGACAAAAGAGGAGTAGGGGATAGGGTGATGGGTAGAAAAAGAGAGAGAGAGAGCGAGAGAGAGAGAGAGAGAGAGAGAGAGAGAGAGAGAGAGAGAGAGAGAGAGAGAGAGAGAGAGAGAGAGAGAGAGAGAGAGAGAGAGAGAGAGAGAGAGAAGGTGACAGACAGAATGAAAGAGAGTTTACCATTGGCAGACATGTAGGTGAAGTGCTGGTACTGGCTCCTTTTCCTCTTGCCATTGCACACATAGTAGTTCACTTGAACAGGATTGGATATCCTCTGGTTCCGATAAGGAGGGATTTCAATGAGAAGAGATGTCTGCAATATAAAGTCAAAGGCAATGCCATCCATAGTGAGACGCAACCGAGTGTCTTCAGAAAGTATTTACACCCCTTGACTTTTTCCAAATGATGTTGAGTTACAGCCTGAATTTAAAATTGATTACATTTAGATTTTTTTGGTCAGTGGCCTACACACAATACCCCATAATGTCAAAGTGAAATTATGTTTTTCAATTATTTTACAGAATAATAAGCTGAAATGTCTTGAGTCAATAAGTATTCAACCCTTTTGTTATGGCAAGCCTAAATAAATCCAGGAGTAAAAATGTGCTCAACAAGTCATATAATAGGTTGCATGGACTTACTCTGTGTGCAATAATATTGTTTAACATGATTTTTGAATGACTACTTCATCTCTGTACCCCACACATACAATTATCTGTAAGGTCCCTCAGTCGAGCAGTACATTTCAAACACATATTCAACCACAAAGATTAGGGAGGTTTTCCAATGCCTGACAAAGAAGGGCATCTATTGGTAGATGGGTAAAACATAAATAATCAGACATTGAATATCCCTTTGAGCATGGTGAAGTTATTCATTGCACTTTGGATGGTGCATCAATACACCAAGTCACTACAAAGATACAGGCGTCCGGAGAGGAAGGAAACCGCTCAGGGATTTCATCATTAGGTCAATGGTGACTTTAAAACGGTTACAGAGTGGCTGTGATAGGAGAAAACTGAGGATGGATCAACAATATTGTAGTTACTCCACAATACATTTTTTACATTTTAGCAGACGCTCTTATCCAGAGCGACTTACAGAAGCAATTAGGGTTAAGTGCCTTGCTCAGGGGCACATCGACAGATTTTTCACCTAGTCGGCTCGGGGATTAGAACCAGCGACCTTTCGGTTACTGGCACAACGCTCTTACCCACTAAGCTACCTGCCGCCTCTACAATACTAACCAAAATGACAGCATGGAAAGAAGGAAGCCTGTACAGAGTACAAATATTCCAAAACAATACTGCAAAAAATGTGGCAAAGCAATTACCTTTTTGTCCTGAATAGAAAGTGTTATGTTTGGGGCAAATCCAATACAACACATTACTGAGTACCACTCTCCATATTTTTAAGCATAGTGGTGGCTGCATCATGTTATGGGTATGCTTGTAATCATTAAGTACTGGGGAGTTTTTCAGGATAAAAAAGAAACGGAATGGAGCTAAGCACAAGTAAAATCCTAGAGGAAAACCTGGTTCAGTCTGCTTTCCACCAGACACTGGGAGATTAATTCACATTTCAGCAGGACAATAACCTAAAACACAAGGCCAAATCTACACTGGGGTTGCTTAACAAGAAGACAGTAAATGTTCCTGAGTGGCCGAGTTACAGTTTTGACTTAAATCTACTTGAAAATCTATAGCAAGACCTGGAAATGGTTGTCTAGCAATGATCAACAACCAATTTGACAGAGCTTGAAGAATTTTGAAAATAATAAGAATTTCGAAAATAATAATGTGCAAATGTTGCACAATCCAGGTGTGGAAAGCTCTTAGAGACTTACCCAGAAAGACTCACAGCTGTAATCGCTGCCAAAGGTGCTTCTACAAAGTATGGAGTCAGGAGTGTGAATACTTATGTAAATGAGATATTTCATTTTCAATACATTTGCTAAAAACATGTTTTCACTTCGTCATTATGGGGAATTGTGTGAAGATGGGTGAGAAAAAAATCTGTGTAGCCCATTCCTGCAGTCAAATGACCTAGTGGCCTCATGGGTGGAATGTTTTTCATATTTTTCATAATTTCCTAATTAATAAACATATTTTTTAAATAGTAAATATATATATTTCAGTCTTCTATGATGTATATCAAGTTTAATATTGGGATTCAAACACAAAATGTAACACATGTCAACTCTATATCTGACATGGTACAGGTGTCTTTTGTTTTAAGCCCATAACCATGTGTGTGACATGTATACTTTTGTTTCAAAGTAGATGTGTTTAAGACTACCAAGAAACACTCTGTGTGACCCTGATTTAGCCCACTGCAGTAAAAAGGTTAATCCATTTTGAAAACAGGCTGTAATACAACAAAATGTGGAATAAGTCAAGGGGTATGAATACTTTCTGAAGGCACTGTACATGCACACAGATGCAAACAGAGACTGATAGTTACACATACACAGAGTGTACAAAACATTAAGGACACCTTCCTAATATTGAGTTTCACCCCTCCTTTTGCCCTCAGAACAGCCTCAATTCGTCAGGGCATGGACTCTACAAGGTGTCGAAAGCATTCCACAGGGATGCTGGCCCATGTTGACTCCAATGCTTCCCACAATTGTGTCAAGTTGGCTGGATGTCCTTTGGGTGGTGGACCATTCTTGATACACATGGGAAACTGTTGAGCGTGAAAACCCCAGCAGCGTTGCAGTTCTTGACACAAACTGGTGCGCCTGGCATGTAAATATTTTGTCTTGCCCATTCACCCTCTGAATGGCACACATACACAATCCATGTCTCAATTGTCTCAAGGCTTAAAATCCTTATTTAACCTGTCTCCCATTCATCTACACTGATTGAAGTGGATTTAACAAGTGATATCAATAAGGGATCATAGCTTTCAACTGGATTCACCTGGTTAGTCTATGTCATGGAAAGAGCACGTGTCCTTAATGTTTTGTACACTCAGTGTACACACAAAACTGGCCAAAATATTGTAAAACATTTATATTGCAAACTAAGGACACATCTGAGATATGTCACAGATAGCTATCAGGTATGCTTCTTTAAATCAGCCACTTTATCCTGCACTGTAATTTTATATCCCATTCAGTGCATTCAGGAAATAATTCAGACCCCTTGACCTTTTCCACATTTTGTTACGTTACAGCCTTATTCTAAAATGTATTAAATTGTTTTTTTTTCCCCCTCATCAATCTACACAAAATACCCCATAATGACAAAGCAAAAACAGGTTAAGAAATGTTTGCTAATGTACAACAACAACAAAAAAACATAAATATTACATTTACATACTCTAAGTATTCAGACCCTTTCCTTTGTTATAATAATAATAATATGCCATTTAGCAGATGCTTTTATCCAAAGCGACTTACAGTCATGTGTGCATACATTTTTACGTATGGGTGGTCCCGGGGATCGAACCCACTACCCTGGCGTTACAAGCGCCATGCTCTACCAATTGAGCTACAGCTGTTGAAGAACCTTTGGCAGCGATTACAGCCTTGAGTCTTCTTGGGTATGATGCTACAAGCTTGGCACACCTGTATTTGAGGAATTTCTCCCATTCTTCTCTGCAGATCCTCTCAAGCTCTGTCAGGTTGGATGGGGAGCGTCGATGCACAGCTATTTCAGGTCTCTCCAGAGATGTTAGATCGGGTTCAAGTCCGGGCTCTGGCTGGGCCTTTCAAGGACATTCAGAGACTTGTCCCGAAGCCACTCCTGCATTGTCTTGGCTGTGTGCTTAGGGTCGTTGTCTTGTTGGAAGGTGAACCTTCGTCCCAGTCTGAGGTCCTTAGCGCTCTGGAGCAGGTTTTCATCAAGGATCTCTCTGTACATTGCTCTGTTCATCTTTCCCTCGATCCTGACTAGTCTCCCAGTCCCTGCCGATAAAAACCATCCCCACAGCATGATGCTGCCACCACCATGTTTCACCGTAGGGATGGTGCCAGGTTTCCTTCAGACGTGACGCTTGGCATTCAGGCCAAATAATTAAATCTTGGTTTCATCAACCAGAAAATCTTCTATCTCATGGTCTGAGTCTTTTAGGTGACTTTTGGCAAACTCCAAGTGGGCTGTCATGTGCCTTTTACTGAGGAGTGGCTTCCGTCTGGCCACTCTACCATAAAGGACTGATTGGTGGAGTGCTGCAGAGATGGTTGTCTTTCTGGAAGGTTCTCCCATCTCCACAGAGGAAATCTGGAGCTCTGTCAGAGTGACCAATGGGTTCTTGGTCACCTCCCTGACCAAGGCCCTTCTCCCCCGATTGCTCAGTTTGGCTGGGAGGCCAGCTCTAGGAAGAGTCTTGGTGGTTCCAAACTTCTTCCATTTAAGAATGATGGAGGCCACTGTGTTCTTGGGGACCTTCAATGCTACATAAATTGTTTGGTACCCTTCCCCAGATCTGTGCCTCGACACAATCCTGTCTCAGAGCTCTACGGACAATTCCTTCGACCTCATGGCTTGGTTTTTGCTCTGACATGCACTTTCAACTGGTGATTAACTCTAAATTCATCCAGGGAGTATCCAGACGTTTCATTTCCCCCAGCACTGCTCCCTGCTGTGTGTGGGGGGAACGCAGGCCAGGACTGAACGTATGTTACTTTGTTCAGCCCAGTCTGTAAGCATACCACAATCCTACACTGCATGGTGTTTTACAGACCTGGGTTTAAATACTATTCGGAAACATACAAATACTTTTAATGTTTGCTTTAGCCTGCCTGGTGTGCCAAATGGGCGGGACTAGTGCTGGTGCAGTTTTGAGACTATACTATTGGATTCATTGCACCAGGCAAGCTCAATCAAGCCCAGCTCAAGTATTTGAAATTAATTTGAATAGAATTTCAACCCATGTCTGGAGTTTAATACTTAGGAGTCTATTGACGCACCAGTGTGTCAATCTAAGTAACATAATGAAAAAATCCCCATCAAAATCTGTCAGTTTAAGCTAGAGAGATCTGTTTTTTGTATGGGCTGCGTCTCAATCCACCACATCCGTCTATGTCGGCCTTCTGCATCTGCAGTGGAAGGTTGTCACGGATTCAGCCGAGGCTGCCCCTCCTCCTTGCTCGGGCAGGCTTCGGCGTTCGTCGTCCCCGGAGTACTAGCTGCTACCGATCTATGTTTTGGTGTTTGTCTTGTTTGGTCTTGATTGTGTACACCTGTTCCCAATGATGTTGTATTGTATTCCCTATATAACCCTCTGTCTTTCATTGTGTATTGTGTGTGATTGTTTTCGTAATTC